AGGAGTCCCTTGATGTGGCGAAGGCGTGGACTTCCTCCTCCTCTTCCTCTTTGCCCAATACTTCCTCCAAGTACCTTACCAAGAAGCATCTTCTTTGTCTCTGGTTGGTTGGAGGTTGTTCTGCATCCTGGTGCCAGCTTGGCCGTGACCTTCAGAGTGAAAGGAAACAATGTCAAGAAGAACTGCGCTGTGTCTTGGAATCCTGGCCACCCCCAAAGTATGGCCCCAAAGTATGGCCCTGGTGGGACCAAGCACATCATATGGTCACTGTGGTAGGGGGATCCAAGCCCTCCTGAGGCTGCATGAAATCCTGGGACTGGCCAAAGCCCCAGTGTACTTGGCAGAAATGCTTAAGTGGGGATGGGCTCCAGCTTCTTGGGTTTGGGAGGGGCTCAGGGCCCTGTCTGATTCCAGCTTCCATCTAGAGGGAAGGAGCTGGAAGCAGGCTGGCAGCATGTGCTACTGGTTCTAACTTGGGGTTCCCAGCAGGCGCCTTGCTTGAGGGAGCTGGGACTTAACACCTTGCGAGCTGGGAGGCTGCCAGTCTCAGGGCTGGGGGCCCGTGCAGGAAGACTTCTTTTCTCGTCTCTCACACCCAGCACATTACTTCCGTCGCCCTGCAGCAGATGGGCAGATGTGGGCGATGCCAAGTGTGAGGTATGCAGGAAGAGGGATTGTGCGTTTTCCGAGGGCTGGGAGAGGGAGGTTTAGTTTTCTTTAGCAGTGGAAAAATCCTGCTGCTTCACGATGGATGGGCTCAAAAAGCCGGGAAGACAGCTTAATGGTTGTCCCCAACGACGCCCAGCCTTGGCACTAGACAAATCTGAGTTCAGACCTCTGCTGTGCCACTTCACAGCCACAGTTACTATTTACTAGCTTCTCTGCTAAGGATTTTCCGTGCATCATCTGATTTGAACCTGACAAACGACATGAAGTGGGTGGCACTTTTATTCACATTCCACGGACGTTCTGAGAAGTGAAATCACTTCCTCAGGCTGCAGAACAGGCGAAGATGAAGCTCAGCTTCAAGCCAAGGGCAGCTGAGCTCTAAAATTCCTCATCTGAGCTACAGTTCATAAGTAGGACAGTGATTTATAGTCTGGTTTCTGGGCCTTGCAGTTAAAGTCACTTAATTTTTTCATCCTTAGCCTACTCCATCTTGGGAATGGGGAAATGAATGTTGCTCTACTAGGTTCATTAAGAGTATTAAAGAAAATATGGGCCCAACACAGTAACCTAGTGGCTACTGCATTCCATATGGATGCTGCTTCCTATATTGGCTCTTCCACTTCCCATCCAGCTCCTGCTTGTGGCCTGGGAAAGCAGCAGGGGACATCCCAAAACCTTGGCACCCTGAACCTGCATGGGACACCCAGAAGAAACAGCTGGCTCCTGACTTCAGATTGGCTCAACTCCAGCCATTGCGGCCACTTAGGGAGTGAACCAGTGGAAGGAAGATCATTTTCTCTGTCTCTTTCTCTCTGTAAATGACTCTCCAATAACAATAAATAAATCTTTAAAAAGAAAAAAAGAATATTAAAGAAAATAACATTTATAGAGGTTTTATCTAGTGCCTGGTCTATATTGTCATTATTTATTTGATAAATATTTATTGAGTAGCTGGTTACTGCTTTACCCAAGGAAGTAGGTAAATACACTAGATAATATTGTATAAAGTTTTTTCTTTTAGTTTAAAAAAAAATGTAATCTGAAAAACAAAGAGAATGAGTGAAAAAGAGAGAGAGATCACTCCCATTGCCCACAACAGCTGGAGTTAGACCAGACCAAACCCAGGTGCTTGGGCTCAGTTTGTATCTACCGTGTTGGTGACAGGAGCCCAACCATGTGAGCCATCACCATGACCTGCCAAGGTCTGTGTTATTAGGAAGCTGGGGTTGGCAGCTGGCACTGGGTATTAAACCCATGTACCCCAGTGTGGGACACAGATCATCTTAACTGGCCCATTAACAGACTAAATACAATAATGACTGCTAAGTGGTATGTCCTATTTTTTTTTTTATAAAGATTTCTTTATTTTTATTGCAAAGTCAGATATACAGAGAGGAAGATCTTCCATCTGATGGTTCACTCCCCAAGCGGCTGCAACGGCTGGAGCTGGGAGCCAGGAACTTCTTCCGGGTCTCCCATGTGGGTACAGGATCCCAAAGTTTTGGGCCATCCTTGACTGCTTTCCCAGGCCACAAGCAGGGAGCTGGAAAAGAAGTGGAGCTTCCGGAATTAAAACTGGCTCCCATAGGGGATCCCGGTACTTTCAAGGCAAGGACTTTAACCACTACGCTATCATGCTGGACCCTGATATGTCCTATTTTAGCCGGATGGTCAATGAAGACCTCTGAGGAAGGGGAAGTTGAGTTTAATTCCATGGGGGAAAATGACTGTCTGGGTTAAGGGGATAGGATGCTCAAAGCCTGCAATAGGAGAAAATAAAAGCTGATGTGATGTGGGCATGTGAGCCAGCGGATGAGGGAAATGAAGGATTGGGCAGAATCAGGCCTGGGGAGTCATTGAAACAGAGCCCTGATGACTAGGGAAGTGTTTGTGTCTGACTTGCTTGCAGGGGGGCTCGGATCAGGAGAGGATAAATAAATAAACATCACTTTGGCTGCTCTGAGCTACTGTTTGGCTGCTGATGTGATAGAATGTAGGGATAAGGCTGCGAGAGGAGGGAGGGGGGAAAGGAAGACAAAGGGAGAGAGAGAGAGAGAGAGAGAGAGAGAGAGAGAGAGAGGATAGAGGTTGGGGTTGGTTAAGAACCCCTAGAAAGCAGGGGCTGCTACTTCCCTTTGGGGCAGCTGCAGGAAAAACCTTAGAGAAGAGGCACGGTCCTCATAGTACTTTTCATGGAAGTGATGAGCTGAGGGCGCCCCATTGGTCAGAGCAGCACCTGCGCTCCTCTCACACTGTAGAGTTACTGCAGCTCTCACCTTGCCGTAAAGTTATATCCACTGGCACAAATAGTTCTTTTTAGCTATGGGATACTTCTCCTTTTGAAGAGTTAGGAAATGTGATTGCCTATCCAGAGTTTATTCTGCCATCTGGGCTTTTGTGTAGAACTGGGGTAAACTTTCTGTAAATGGCCAGATAGTAAATATTTTCATTTTTAATGGGTCTTATTATATCTTCTCCCATCTGTACAACCAGGCCACTATTGAACAAAACAGTTCTAGATAGTGCTTGAATGAATGGGCATGGCTGTGTTCTAATTAAACTTTGCTAAAAAAAAAAACAAAAACAGGTAGTTGGGGTTGGTAATCCTGATTGCGAGTGATGGTATTCCATATGGGCGCTGGTGTCCCAGCTGCTCCACTTCCCATCCAGCTCCCTGCTTGTGGCCTGGGAAAGCAGTAGACGATGGCCCAAAGTCTTGGGACCCTGCACCCACCTGGGAGACCTGGAAGAAACTCCTGGCTCCTGATTTTAGATCAGCTGAGCTCCTGTCATTGCAGCCATCTGGAGAGTGAACCAGCAGATATAATATCTTTCTCTCTGTCTGTTCTCTGTCAATCTATCTTTTCAATTAAAAAAACAGTCTTAAAAAATGAAAACAAAAGCAAGTAAGTGTCCAGATTTGGGCAACGGGTCATAATTTGTCAGCTCAGGATAGAAAATATCATTTGTTAATAGTAACTCACTTTTTTTCTCCTATAAAATCGCCTCAAGGCATTTCCCCCAAATGCTTTGTAAAAAGTAAGGTATATCGGGCCCAGCGCGATAGCACAGTGGTTAAGGTCCTCGCCTTGCACGCCCGGGATCCCATATGGGCACCAGTTCTAATCCCGGCAGCCCCGCTTCCCATCCAGCTCCCTGCTTGTGGCCTGGGAAAGCAGTTGAGGATGGCCCAAAGCCTTGGGAACCCTGCACCCGTGTGGGAGACTTGGAAGAGGCTCCTGGCTTCGGATTGGCTCAGCTTCAGCCTTTGTGGCCGCCTGGGGAGTGAATCATCAGACGGAAGATCTTCCTCTCTGTCTCTCCTCTCTGTATATCTGCCTTTCCAATAAAAATAAAATAAATCTTGAAAAAAAATAAATAAATCTTTAAAAAAAATAAGGTATATCTTCTGTGGCCATACTTAATACTAACACTAGACATTTTGATAGAATTAAAAGACTATTCAGTCCAGTGATGTTCAAATCGCTGTGATGATAAATCAAGGAACCAGGCCTGAGAAAGCAGTAGAGGACAGGCCAAAGCCCGGGAACCCTGCACCCATGTGGGAGACCTGAAAGAAGCTCTTGGTTCCTGGCTTCGGATTGGCTCAGCTCCAGCCGAGGCAGCTGCTTGGAGAGTGAATCATCGGAAGGAAGATTTCCCTCTCTGTCTCTCTTCCTCTCTGTATATCTGCCTTTCCAACAAAAATAAATACATCTTTTAAAAAAATTAAATATTTGTTGGTGGTCTTCAAAAGAGTTTTTACTGATGCGATCAGAAGCAAGGAAAGAACAAAAAGCATGAATCCAGTCCAGTTGGGTGATCATTCCTTGTTTCTGGTATCATGCTTTAAAAAGGCATTTATCACATAATTGCCTATAGAACAGGTTAGCACATACATGTCCTCGCTGGTTGGGGAGGGGAAGGGAAGTAGTAATGGGGGGGGGGGCGGGAAGGAACTACTTTGTGAGCCTGGTCAGGTGGAGGCACCAAGTGCCAGCAGCAGTCCTGGAGAGGCGGGTGATATGTGACTTTGAACTTAGACATGAGTCTCTGCACTTCATTTGCTGCCTGAGCCGTTTGACTGCTGTCTGTTTTCCAAGCGGGAAGACTAAAAACGATGCTACTTCCCTTCCCTTGCTTTTGGATGGATTAAGCAAATTGGTTCCTACAAATTGTCTAGTGGTTTGCTGGGTGCTTTAGAGAGACTAATTCCCTTCTGCCTTTTCCTTGTTCTGTTCTCTGGGATATGGGATGAGCTCAGCAGCCCTTGGAGAATTCTTTGGTTTCTTTCTCATTAATTGACGCCCAGTCTTTTCTTCTCATTCCAGGATGTGGCCAGGTTCTTCGAGTCCCAAAGGGTCAGATTTTGTTGGAGAGCTATCCCTTAAATGCTCACTGTGAATGGATCATTCACGCCAAACCCGGGTTTATCATCCAATTAAGGTAAGAGACTGGGGCCAAAATTAAGGAGTTTGAGATTATGAGGAAACAATAATAAGATGGAAGGCCCTGGGGCCTACACACCAAAAGCCAATAAGCAGCATTGGGTTTTTAGAAGTGTAACATATGTATTGAAACCTTTCTTTCCAACCTCATTGATTCTTTAGGGGTAAGACCTGGACAGAACTACAATCAATCAAATAAATGCTTGTCATTCACACCCATGAATCATGGGGTTTAGGTTATTTTGAACCCAATAAATTACCAATGAAGGAAATTACTGAACGTCAGCTACACATCTTTAACAATTGTTCTCATTTACCTAGCACTGGGCTATGTCCTAGTGGAGGGGGGATATGGAAAGTAAATGGTACAGAACTAACCTAACCTTCAGGAGTTCAGGATATAGATTGGGGTTCATGCTGGTTATGGCAGCATCAAAAAACAAAGATAGGCAACAAGAAATGAAGTCATTCTCTCTGCTGTAAGAAAAGTAAGCTGTTTTCTCTTATGGAGCATTAAGATCCTGATAAATGTTTAATTCATGTTACATTTGTGCACCCAGAAGATGGTGCATGTCAGGTGGCTCCCCAGTTCTCTCTCTGTCCTTTAGAAGAGACTAAATAAAGAGTCATGATTCCATGATCAGGTTCCCCTGTCTTGACCACTCTTCCCTATGACCTTCATAGAGTTGGTCTCATTACATCATTTAGGTCTCTACCTAGCTATCACAGTCTTAAAGAGGTCTTCCTTGACCACATTATGTCAAGCATTCTTAGCACTTTTATTTTTTAAGATTAATTTATTTGAAGGACTTACAGAGAGAGAGAGAGAGAGAGAGAGAGAGAGATTGTGTGTCAGCTGATTCACTCCCACACATGACTGTGGTGGCCAGTGCTGAGCCAGATTGAAATCAGTAGTCAGCAGCTTCAGATTGAAACTAGCAGCAGGGAGCTTCATTCAGGTTTCCAGCCTGGGTGGCAGGGTCCCAAACACTTGGGCCATCTCCTGCTGCTTTACCTAGGCTCATTAGCAGACAGCTGGATCAAAAGTGGAGCAGGTTGGAACACAAAGCAGTGCCCATATGGGATGCTGGCTGGTGTCACAGATGGCGGCTTTACATCCCTTGCTACAATGCTGGGGCTTGTTTGAGTTTAATTTTTCCTTCTTACACTCTTCCCTGGTTTATTTTATTCAAAACATTTAGGACTCCTTGGGTTTGCCTTGTGTTTTTGGTCTCCTTGCATGTTATCTGACCTCATTTCCCTGTGGGCAGACTCTGTATTCAGGCACCTCTAACCTTCTGGCATGGAGTCAACCTATAGAAATTTGCGTTCAATAGATTAAAAAAAAAAATGAACAGATGCCTGAATGCAAAGGCAGGTTGTAATGTCTCGTGCAGCTTGAGAGACAGTTGTTGTGTCTGTATGGTTTCAAAGGCACGAAAGCCCACAGAAGAAGCAGGTTCCCCAATCCCCAGAGTGAGAAGGTGGCAGCATTTGGATGAGAAGTTGGGCGTCATCTTAGAAGGCAGAGCATGCAGCACACAATGTGACACATGTCTGACCTTCCCCCAAAAGCTTGTGCAGATTCTTGGCATGGAAGACAGCACTGCCTTCCACTTGATGTGCAATATGAACATACGCAAAACAGCCTACATCTCATGTGCCCACCTAATCATCTAGGACCATCTTCCAAGCAGATGAGGTCCATCGCATGATCTGTTCCCACCAGTTCATCATCTGGCTTACATATATCCAGGGATCCTGGGACTGCCCATGACCCACCTCTTTCTTCTGTTGCCTTCTCCACCTGTAGATTTGTCATGTTGAGTCTGGAGTTTGACTACATGTGCCAGTATGACTACGTTGAGGTCCGTGATGGAGACAATAGCGATAGCCCAATTATCAAGCGTGTCTGTGGCAATGAGCGGCCAGCTGCCATCCGGAGCTCGGGCTCCTCGCTGCATGTCCTCTTCCATTCTGATGGCTCCAAGAATTTTGATGGCTTCCATGCCATTTTTGAGGAGATCACAGGTAAAGGCCATGAAGAGACGTGTTACATTATGTGGCTTCTTCCTACAAACCTCTCCTCACCGTTTGCCTCCCACCTCCCTGCTCAGCCCTCATGACACCTGGCAGGTGGGGTTCTCAGAAGCAACCTACCCAGTGAGAAAACAGAGACATTAAGACTCACTTCAGGAAGGTTTACTCAGGACAAGAACTAAGGCTTACTAAACTGTAATATGGGCAAGAGGGCCGGGGCATAGAGAAGCTGGGCAGTTTGCTCTAAGTCACCCAGTGACAGAGGTGGCACTTGGGACTTGTGCCAAGGCAGTTAGGCCCTGAAGCTTCCATGATGGGACCCCTCATGGTTAGGAGAGTCTTTGGGTTCCTGGAAAATCAAGCCGTATGGCCTTGAGAAAGTCCTATCTCTCAGGGTTTCAGTGATAACAGAAAAATGTTAGATCCTGCCCTATTAAGGAGGCTGTGGTAGACAGAACAAATGAAGTGCTTATCTTAGTGCAAACATATAACAGGCACTCAACAGCTGCCCAACCTCAGGTGCATGCTCAACATTCATTTGGAATGCTATCTGGAAAATGGATATTAAAAGTCTTTAACTTTAATGGAAAATGTCGTTTATATAATGGATGACGCTAACTTTGATTCTAGCTTCTGCTCTGGCTAGGAAGTAAGATTTAACTAAAATGAACTTTTTTTTTTTTAAAAGGGTATATTTTGTATTTTATTTATTTGAAAGGTGAAAAGAGAAGGGGAAATGGTGGGGGGAGAGAAAGAGTGGGAAAAGAGAGAAAACTTTGAAAAAGAAAGAGAAATCTTGCACCCGTAGGCTGGTTCACTTACAATATGCAGAGGCGGGCCAGGCTAAAGCTAGGAGTCAGGCTGCTTCCCAGGTGTGCCAGCAGGAGGCTGGAATGGAAGTAGAGTATCATACTTCAACCAGTACTCACATATAAGATGCTGGCCTTGCAAGTGGTAGCTTAATTCATAATATCCGAAACAAATTCTTAATTCTTTTTTTAAAGATTTATTTTATTTTTATTGGAAAGGCAGGTCATGGAGAGGAGAGACAGAGAGGAAGATCATCTGTTGGTTTGCTCCCTAAATGGCCACAATGGCCCAAACCAGGAACCAGGAGCTTCTTCCGGGTCTCCCATGTGGGTGCAGGGTCCCAAGGCTTTGAGCTGTCCTCTACTGCTTTGCCAGGCCATACGCAGGGACCTTGATAGAAAATAGAGTAGCCAAGACATAAACCAGTGCTCATATGGGATTCCGGCCCTTGCAAGGTAAGTATTTAGCCATTGAGCCTTTGTGCTGGGCCCCACAAATTCTTAACTCTAAGGATAAAAAAAAAATTCATACCTCTAAGGCGTCATCTCAGCTTTCATTATATCTATATATTTTTTTCTTCATGTTTTCTCTGTTTCTTTGTTTTAAATTGTTTCATGATACAGTTCCATAGGCTTGGGATTTCCCATCCCCCTCCCCAAGTCCTCTCCTCCCCCATTGATTTCCCCTTTAGTATTAAAATGGGTGGTCCTTCGTGAACAGTTGCAAGTCCCTCTTGCTGTCAGTGATGTGTTTCCCGACACTGTAGGCATGGACAATCTCGGAGATTCCAGCATCCTTCTGTCACGGTATTTCCTGCTGTGATGCATCAGGTTTTCCAATATAATTTCCAACTTGAAGTTCATTTGTTTTGCAATACTGATTATAAAAGAAACACACAACTTGAATGGCACTCCAAACCTTAAGGTTTCCTTGGGTGTAAGGTGTGACATGACTCTGTGGCCAAGGGGGCCAGTCCTTTCAGCAAGCCCAGCAGACCCTGCCCCAGTCTGCTCCTCCCTTAGCTGTTGCCTGCAGGTGCTTCCTTCCTTTACTCCTTGCAGCCTCAGCGCTGGCCTCTCTCCTGTCCTCTTGGAGTCATCTAGGAGTTCTCGACATTTTGTTGTTGTGTGTGACTTCCTGTGGCTGACTGCTGCAGCATGGGTGGTACTCCACAAACGCATGCTGATCGGGGTCTCAGGCAGGATTCACCTTTATGTGCTTGGGGCAGTAAGCAAAAGCTGGCTGTTGTGAAGTCAGATGGAGGGCAGCAGTGGATCATCAGCTGTGCCTCTATGACTGAAGCAAGGTCAGGAGACCTCAGCGCCCCCTGGGGGCTGCCCTGTGCAGGTGCACACTGTCCTGTGCTGGGGAACAGCCAACAGCACTGCTTCTAGTTCTTCAAATGTCCGCTGTATCTGCTTTTCCTCAAGGCTCAAGTCACCTGTCTCGGAGCTGCACATCAGCAGTCACCTTTCGGGCCAATATCACATTCTTCCTCCTATGCTAAGCCTTTTCTGTTTTTCCAGTGAGCTGTGACTGTGCTGTCTTGAATGTCTTGCAACATTTCTCTCTTCTTTCTTTGTAATACATCAACTGTATCATACTTCAGGTTATAATCATTGTGAACTTTTCAAATAGCTTTGATCTAATAAATAGGATTTTCTATTCAGCCTTGTCTCTCTCGAGCACCTTAAGACAAGTACTCAATGCATTCAATGCATTTTTGTTGAATGGAGTTGGGGATATATGCACGTTACTACATCAGGGTAAAAGAATGTAGGAGTGGTTGATCACGTTAATTCTGGTGTTGGCCTGAGTGTTTTCTATAGAGATAAGTGATCTCATGGTTTCCTGTGAACTAAGCTTGGAAAATGCTGAAGGTTATGTACATTCTTAGACATTTATAATACATTTTAAGGTATCGACCTGAGAGATTCTGTCATAAAGAAATATGATTAGTTACCCTTAAATATCAGCAGCATTTCCATCACATACTTGAACCAAGAGCCCTCTTTTGGCTGAACATATCAACATCCCAAGAAACTAATGTTCACACAGTGTTGTTTGAAAATCCTTGCACAAGACTTCAATAGTGACAAAAAAAAAATATCATCTTCCAGTTGTTTTCCCCAGTCCGGGTGCTGCTGAGCTTTCTTGAAGAGGGATGAACTAAAGGCTACTCGAAGATGCTTCTCTCTACTGGGGTCCCTGTGGGAGAGATATAAACTTAGCTGTGTCCTTACCACTTTAATACTCCTGTGTGTGCTTGCTCCATGCTCCTCCTGCCATAAGTATCTTGAGCACACTTCTGGGACATCAAAAATGTCAAATAATATCAGCAAGATCTGACACTTAGAACATAACTGTTTGAGGCACTGACAAATGCTAGTAGTGTAGATTCAGTAAGGGGCATAAGAAACTGCAAGAAGGAGCCTGGTGTTTAACTCAGTAGTTACGTTGCCTATTGAGATTCTCAGATTCTGTGCCAGAAAACCTGGGTGCTAGTCCTAATTTTGCTTCCAGTTCCAGAAGGAGGAGGTACAGTTGGGTCCTTGCCATCTGCAGGAGAGACCTTGGTTAAGTTCCTGGCTCCCATCTTCTATCTTTGGCGTGGCCAATCCTGAGCTGTTGCAGATATGTGGGAGAAGAAACCAGTAGAAGGAGATTCTCTGTCTCTAAGCCTCTCAAGTGCATAAATAAATGTCTAAAAATGTTTTAAAATGTTGGGTCCGGCGCAGTGACTTAGCGGCTAAAGTCCTCGCTTTGAACATGCTGCTATCCCATATAGGAACTGGTTCTAATCCCGGCAGTCCCACTTCCCATCCAGCTCCCTGCTTGTGGCCTGGAAAAGCAGTTGAGGACCCAAAGCTCCTGGCTCCTGGCTTTGGATCGGCACAGCACTGGCTATTGCAGTCACTTGGGGAGTGAATCATCGGACGGAAGATCTTCCTTTCTATCTCTGCTCCTCTCTGTATATATCTGACTTTGCAATAAAAATAAATAAATCTTTAAAAAAATTAGAAGACTTTAATAGACAATAAAAAGCTCAGGTTAAAACTGACTGTAGGCTTGAAGAGGCAAATCCACTGCACAATGGCACTGAAAGATGCTCTTTCTCTTCCAGCATGCTCCTCATCCCCTTGTTTCCATGATGGCACCTGCCTCTTAGACAAAACTGGCTCTTACAAGTGTGCCTGCCTGGCAGGCTACACTGGGCAGCACTGTGAACATCGTGAGTATGCCTCCTGTGTGGGTTCAGGTTCTGCTCGGGCTGGACGGGGGTTTCAGAAGTGTGTAGTAGCAGCATGTAGTTCTTGCCATCTAGGATGATCCATGCAAGATAACTTGTGCATGGATATTTCCCCAGAGATGTGGGGATGATTCTGAGCAAGGATGTCAGGAGCTACCCAGGTTTACCACTTGACATTTCTGGCCTTTACCTGCTGCAGATACTTCTTGAAGAGACAAATGCCTTGAATAATATCAAGAGCTCAAAGCCGGGATCAGTGTCAGTGGTTGAATGCCACCATCATAAACTCTCCAGAGGTTCAGAGTCTGAACTCCCTGTCCATCCTAATGTCTGAATTTCAGAGTTTATGTTCCTGGGCATCTCCGTGGACTCCAATCTATTGATACAGTCCAAAGCTCTGCAGGGTGGGTGGTGAATACGTAGGGATCTCATTCTCCCGGTTATAGTCTCAGTGTATGCATTTTGTCTGGATATGAAACTAATAACATCCACCTTCATTCTTAAATTGTCCCGAATTGTAGGAAAAATTACATTATCTTCCTGCAAGTACGGGGCAATGGTAGGTAAGTTACAGCCTGACCATCAAGCATTTATTAAAAGTACTTTGTATCAGGATCTTTGGACATGCAGAAGAACACACCTTGTCTGCCTTGTAAGGAGCGTATCTTGAATTGTCAGGACAAACTTCATGCTTCTGGGGGCAGTTCTTGAGAAAGCCTGGGAAAAATGGCATTGCAGGGATGGGACACAGTGAGGAGTCAAGGCAGAAAGAAATCCTTCTATTGTGGAGTTCCACAGCTGTTTTTAGCATACACTCCTTTCACTCCAACCCTGCCCTTCAACTTCTTCCCTGAGCTACATCCTTCTGTCCTAAACTCTCCTAGAAGGTAGTCAGAATAAGAACAATAGTAGCCCCAGGAATCTGGGGCAATCTACACAGTAGTAACCAGCGGAGACATGACCCACTCCACAGTAGGTAGCTGTTCTTAATGCAGGTCTTTGAAAAGGAAGGTCATGACCCTTCTCTGATACAGGATTTAAACTAGAACCTGCCAAGTCTGAACATATAGCTGATGGGACCGGTCCTCTGTTCTTGGGGGAAAAACTGTTTGCCTGTTACTCTACATGGTGATACCAAAGCTGTACAGTGCCAAAGGTTGTGCCTGTTGGCAAAGAGGAACTTGGCTATCATAAGGGCTAAAGAGCACAGATAATATCCCAGGTAGGGTTTCCCAGAGCAGATGTGTTCCTGAGGATGTGTGTGCAAGTTACACACGTGGGACACGCTCCAAGGAGAGATCTGTAAGAAGCTGACCTGGGAAAGGAAGGAAGCTAAGCAAAGGTGTGGCTTCAGACAAAAGCCCATTCTCAGTGCTTGCTAGTAGTGAGATCAGGAATGTGAATTGCTTCTCTGAGTATGTCTTGGCCTGTAGACAAAGGGACTAGACTTTCCTACACACCTGTCACTAGTCACACCTGCCTTGGGGGAAAAGGGGAGCATAAATCCTGGGCATGCCCAGCTCTCTGTTTTTGTGACAAAAGTGACTCTAGCAGCCTCTGAACCATCCTCCGAGTGAGATGCTGCAGGCACATACAACGCCACAGCAGTGGGGGGAGGCGTGGTGTGTTTGGCAAAAAGGGACAGCAAAGCAGGGAAACAGGCAAAATGCCAGCAGTGTTTGCTCCTATCGCTTGCAATGAGCATGCACAAATACTCTTGGGTCACTTGAAAGGATCTAGTATGACAGCAGTCTCTAAGTTCACACATTGTTTGAATTCATTCTGCTGTAGTGTTACTTTGCAAACACAGATGGAAACTGTGGTTTGAGCAGGGAGTCCCTGAGTGTGCCCTTGAGTCTGACTGAAGGCATCACTCCGTGTCTTGACCCAGCTGGCTCGAGAGGAACTGTGCAAAAGATGACAATCCTGCTCTGCCCTGTAGTTCCTGCCAACATTCCAGCCTGCTGCATTTTAACCATTAAAATTCCAGGGGCAGACAGAAAAAGTGAACTCTTGAAGGCTGAATTTCTTGGTGACTTGCAACAAATATTAGGGTTTTAATAAACAAACATAAACTGCAGACAGAATCAAAGATCACTAAATATACCAGCATATCTTTAAGAAGCTGGGTCACACTGGGGGGAATTAAGTAAATCATTCCAAAAGTGGTAACTAAAATAGTCATGGGTAACTTGGGAGTGGGAAAATAATTGATTTTTCACTATCATTGTTTTAGTGAGAAAAAATAAACATAATGAAATAGAACATCAAAGGAGTCATTGATAAACTGATTCATAAACAGCCTCAAATCATCTTAAGACAGAGCATGGATGGCCTTGCCAAATTTCAAAGTATTGTTAAAATATCATAATTCCTTAGTACAGATGAGGTATAGAGGGGTGATGATACTGGTGGTAGAGATCTGGCATATCATTTGCTAGCATTAGTAGGAAGGAGGCTGCTGTGTGTCCAGGTTTTATTTCTTCCTGCTAAGAAATTTGGCATGAGTTCTAGCTAACTCATGGGAGGTATCACAAAAAAATCAGCCCCAGTGATGTCCATAATATCTCCACAGCTCTCTCCCATTTTTCTGGAGCAGTCTGTCAGCTCAGAAAGCAAAAAAGAGAGACAGCACAATGAACTATTTTCCTTGTGATGTTGTCAGCGAACTGGAACCATCTCCCTGGAGGAAATTCTTTCAAAATCAGAAAGCAACTTAAACATTCTCATTTTCTCCAAACTCTGAAATGACTACACTGATTAGGTACTTAATAATAATAATGATAATAACAGCAACACCAACAACGACAACGACAGTAGTAGTCGTAGTAATAAAATTGGGGCACACTGGCACAGAGAGAAATGAAGGTTCTGCCTCTCTTCTATTAGTCCCAGTCTAGACCGGGAAACTACTTCACAGACCTTAGTGGTTTGACCTCTTGAAGTCTTTGGGGAAAAGGCAAATACTCCCTTTTTGCAGCTGACAGATTTGAAATAGAGGCTGCAAGACTTGATCCCCATCCAGTTCAAGGCCAGTGGCCGCAACAGCCATTTCCCTTAACATGCCAAGCTTCTCAGACATGGTTCTGAGACGTGTGGTGTTGTGAGACCCTGGTGGATGTACTGATGGGCTCTGGCCACCATCATGTCCCCTCAAAGGACATCCTAGTCCAGGTACATTCTACTTCTGTCCCGTTTGGCTATTGACAGAAGCTACTATTTAAAAAATTTTCCCTGTGAGAGTGGAATGGAAATAAATCCCCTACTTCACTGAAGAAAAAGTATGTGCTTATTTAAAAATTCTGAATATATATGTGTATATATATAGATAGATAGATAGATAAAACCTGGTTGTATATAATACAGTATAATACAGGTTGTATTCCCTGAGCAACCTTGGTTCCTATAGGAACCACCCCTAAAAATGTGATGTATATCCTTCCAGACTTTTCTTTGTGTGTGCAAACCTGTTTTCTGTTTATCATTATGTTAAGCCAGTGGTCATCAGATGGGGTGCTCTTACATTCCATACCCAGCTGCTATTCTGCCAGTTTGGATGCTTAGCAGTGTCTGGAAAGTGTTGATTGTCATGTTTGTGGAGCTGCTGTTGGCATCCCGTGGAGCAAGGCCAGAGATGCTGCTAAACACTGTGTGATGCACAGGGTGGTTCCCATGCTAAGGCTGTCTGGCTCCGTGCCAGGATTAAGAAACCTGATGTTGCATGTACATGGATTGAAGTCTGCAGACACATTTACAGCTTCTCTACTCTGTTCTAGTTATTTTTTCAATGTGGGCCTATTTTGTCTGCATCCTTTAAGAACATGGTAGTTGAGTATTCTGTAACACAGATGAGTGCACATCCATGTGTTCATCTGATTCCTTGGCAGGAAGTTGATGATTGTTTTTAATCTCTTACTGTCTGAGGAGGGTAACAATGGATAACTTCACATGTATTTCTTGACATTTTGGAAAAATAAATGCTTAAATGCTGAATTGTTGGTTCTAAGTCAAGCATCTAGCTTTTAAAGAATGGATGCCTACTGCAAAAACAACAACAAAGCCACATTGAAAAGTTAGGATCTAGTCTCATCAAGCTGGGCATGGATTTTTTTTCAAAGGCATTCCAGCAGGCTTGGGAGATGATTCTTGTTCAGACTTTGAGAATGAGATGTAATCAGGAAGCTTGGCTTCCTTCTGGTGGCAGAGTGGGTGTAATGGGACAGTTGTCCAGGGTTGCTGTCCCCAGATCTCATCTTCCCTAGGTTGTTTCATTAGGAGGAAAGCTTAAATCTGCTCCCAAGTGACCTCCTGGGAAGTGTAACATGGGGAGTTTCCCCATCCTTCGTTTTGGGACCAAGCTAGCCTTCTGCCAACACCTTCAATGACCTTCAGCCTCCCTGGGCCACCGTGTAAGAAACTGGAGCTCCTTCTTTCCTCTGAAGTTTCCTGTTTCTTTGTAAGGGACACAGCAACAAAATAAGTCCTTGAGTAAATGGTCAGAATCTTGTTTTGAGAAAGTGGAGAGCAAGGGATTCATCACCCTGCTCCAGTTTCCATGTTGCCTTTGTTCCTCTGGCCCAGTTGACGAGGCCGAGACTTCCCCCTGCATCCTAATGAAGGGCGATGAAACAAGCTAACGTTCAGGGCACAATGCTCACACTGCAGGCTCTGATGAGCCTTTGAACAAAACAAACCGGCCTCCACCAATTAAAAAAATGGTGAATCCAGATTCATTGGGGTTTTGGAGCATCAGAGGAGTTCCCACTGACCCGTCCCAAACTCTGGGAAGAAAAGAACCCAGGATGAGAGGCACACTTTAAACTCCAGCTTCAAAGGGCTAACCCGAATTTATCTTCTAAGGAAGTATGGGAACGTTGGGTTTTCATGGGAGCATTGATGCCGATTCAGGGAGCTTATGCTGAAGACTCTAGTGGGTAGTGCCCATCTCATCACAGACAGCTAAGCAATTTCATTTCAGTGGG